TACCCTATCCGAAATTACTCTATGAGTTAACCACATCGGTCCTAACTCAAAAATGAGATGAGTTTAAAAACTCTGCCAATGTTCAAAGTCATTTGAATGTTGCTGCTATTAATGCTACTAGCTTGCCTTGCTACACTAGTGCTTGATTCCAAAAATGTTTCTGTTGATTGTTTCTTGCTTTCCTATTTTAACATGACATTGAAACTTTTCTTCAGTTTCCTGTATGAACTATTATCATTTGAGAGTATGTTGTTAATGAAATCTTCATTTACTATTCACATGTTGCTGTTTTTCGTAGTTTGTTTCTTTTAGTAGTGATGAAATTTCGGGCGTGTCTTCGTCTTGTTTACTTGCATCATTCAAAGGTTTTTTCAATATTTCCGCAAGTTTGTTTATTTTTTGCTCTGACCATTGAAATGGTGAGAAAATTTGTATTTGGGTGTTTTTAGTAATTTTTTTTTGTTTTCCACACAAAATCAGGTACCAAAAAGAATTCTAGGGCGGGGTTGAGTGATAAATCATATTGAAAACTTTGCAGTTGTCATTCAAACGACGTTAAAACTTGTTTGAAAGAGTTTTGCTGTGTCGAGGAAAACTAGTTTCAAATTTGGAGTTTTCGTCTAACTTTGAGCAAGTACTGCAAGCCAGCAGGCTTATAATAGCATATTAATTCTCATTTTAAATAATTTTTGGAGTAAAATTAGTTTTTGGAGTTATGAAGCGCTATTTTGATAATCAGAAGCTTCAAAATTCTGTAAAAATAATTGAAAAAGTTTCAAAATTTTTTTGCTTGATTTTTTTACTGAATTTTATATTGCTTTTTTAGACGGTTTTCTTCAAAACGTGTCGTCCAGTTTATTTATTTTTGTTGATTATGACTAATTTCTAATTTTTGGGTCTGGTTTTTTTTATCACACCCCGCAGAAAAAACTATACTAATTTGAAAAAATGAAAAAAAATTGTTTTTAAATTTCTAAGACTATGGTCGGAACAGTCTGTGCTACTTGCACGGTAACCGGCTATCCTTGTTGCACAATGTTACTATCAAAAATTGTTTAAATTTAATGCGAAAAGCTCGAGTTGGCTTGGTTTTTTTATTACTGAATTCGGAAATTATTGATAATTTTGTTTTGGGGGGCTTACAAGTAAGATGATTTTGGCTTTTAAACTTCCTTGTTAAAAACGTCCTTCTTTGTCTATCTGCGTCGTTCGTAAGGATGTTTTCTGCTGCATTGTAGTCGGTTTCCAGGAACGTGCCAACTCTAGGTCATTTTGTGCTTCTAAAGCTACTCATGCCTTGCCCACGGCATACGAAAAATATGCAATGCAAAAAAATCATCGTGTTGAGCATTTTTGAAAAAAATATATCAAGCGAAATTGCAGAATAGCCTCAGATTTTGTATCCAGGACTACGTTATGCACACAAAAAATCAAGTTTTGGATGCAAAAAAAAAGTTTTTTGTTGGAATTGTTTAAGTACAAAATTCGTTTTGAACATGAAAAAAAAATACAAAAAAAAGATTTGGAGAAAAATCGAAACTATGTTCATGGTGTTGCCAAAAAAATTATGGTGTGCTCATAAAAGAACGCTAATTTTTGGCAAAAATGCTAATCATACAATTTCATAAATGGAAACATTATGATAAGCATTTTTGCCAAAAAGATTTTCTCTTTGTATCTGTGATAATACACCTTTTGTGCCGATACATTTTTTGTATCTTTTGTACCGAAATGAGAAAACGTTTCTTGCAAAATTCGATGTAGCCATTTAAACCAAAACTTTTATGACCAGCAGTTTGTCATAGACTTAGTTCATGGAGTTGTATGATTAGCATTTTTGGTTTATGGAGGTCAACCCGGGTACTGTTGTGAAAATGCTACCAGATGACATAAAACTATGACTTAAAAGTTTATTTGCAATTACCTCTTTTGAAATTTTTTTTGTTTTACTTTCAATGATTTTCGCCATATTTTTTTCATTTGTCTCATTCAATTTATTTTCTAGAATAACTTCAATTTTTCTATCATTTGAGCGCAGTTTGTATCCAGCTATCTTTTCAGAGAAACACCGGTTGAGGCTTTTTGTTTAGTTTGTAATTGCCAGTGAGTAAAACCTTAAAATCGAGTTCACATGAGTTATGTTTTAAAAATTCACGTTTTCTGAAAGTTTTTTTCAAAATTGATCACATAGTTTTTGAGTGACCCGATGCTTTTTTGTTGATACTAAAAATATGATCAAATTTCTTTAGTAATAATTTTCTAAACTCAGCTCATGTAGGAGTCACCGTGCCTAAATTAAATGGTTTATTTGTCTCATTTTTCACTATTCGTTCTTGTAGATTTAGGGGATTGCTTCTCTAGGTTCGTTCTCTCTTTCCTAACGACAGCGCAAAGTGGTCACTTGAGTAGTGCATTTAGCGGGGCGACCGAGATTCACTACTATCTACAATGCCGAAAGGGTTAAATTGTTGGCAACTATTCTGTAGTGTATTATGTTACTTGCCGCCTTCTTGTGTACTGCTCTTCAGGCTGTCTTGTCTACTCGATACAACCGCAAGAGTTTCCCATTGTAATTTAATTCAGATGGATATACGTCTAGTTACAGAAGTTTCTGAGTGGCCAGAGTATAATCTAATAATCAAATCAAAAGGAAAGGGTCCGCAATTTATCAGCACAATTGCCTAATTGCAATTAACTACCATTTAACTCCACTAACACTAAATTGTTCTCTCTCTCTCTCTCTCTCTCTCTCTCTCTCTCTCTCTCTAGAGAATCTCTGATGAGCACCAACTCTCAACTATTTCTGCTGTAAATGCTCTCTGACTCCGAGAGCCAACTACTCGATTCGCTAGCAATAATTGTTCTCTCTAACTAACTGAGAATCAACTATTCTCTATCTCAGTATCAATCGCTCTCTTCTCTGACTGAGAACCAATTACTCTTAAAAGTATCTAACAACTGTTCTGACTCATACAGGCTCTCCTGTACCCTGAATTCCTTATCGTTCTTTACACTTACTTTAGTTAAGTCACGCCATTTTCTATCAGTCCTGGCATCCGCTTAAATCTCCCGTCCGCATATGTTTTAAGACTATACCCATTCCCCTGTCAACACAGTGACGCGCCAAATTCGGTTTCTTTTATCAATCTTTTCACGCTTGTTAGATACCCGGTATGCGGTAGGTGTCACAATTTGAACAAGCAAACAAATTTCATACGATTCTAATCAACTAATTCTTGACCTCAGTCACTTCAGCTCCCGAGTTCAACTCAACCTCGAAACCATGCTATAATTACTCAGTGACCCTCCCAAGGTCTTTATTTTAATTATCCCTTCAACGTTCCGACCTCCCAAGGGTAGGGCGAGACCCTTTTCATGATGGGTAGCTAATTCATTCCAAGTATCTAAAATTTCTATCTGTATTATATTCCAATCCCGACCTTCTAGCTATCAGGGGAACGTAGTTCGTCTATTAGGGGTCAAATTAAACCCAAAAGTCACCTCCGGGAAGCCAAATAAATTCCCCGTCCGTTCATACTCTTTAAGAGACTTAGTTCTCATGCTGCGGTCCTATTACTATCAAATTCCTCTGTGGCTACTTTTCTTTAGTGTAGTTGAATTGCTATTAATAGATTGTTCGCCAAGCTAAACTGAACCCACTATTTACCAAGTCTACTTTGAATTAATTCTACTACTCCAAGGATGCAATGTTCAAGATCTATGACTATCATCTTCTTCTCTAGGTCCAATATACAAGTATTCTCTCAGTTATTAGTAAGGTGACCGGTTCATATCTCCATAGGGTTGAGCTGAGGAATACGCCAATTTCCGGTGTTAATATCGGGGTTTTCTATGCAATTTTGGGGTCAATACGCCCAAAGGTCAACTTAAGGTCACCCAGGGGTCAACCGGGGTCAAACTTCCATAGTTTGATTCAGAATCCCATGGAATCCTAACTACCAAGTTCCATCCATATCACATTAATACTTCACAAGTTATTCTATTTCTAAGGTCCATTATCACTCTTTCCGGAAAAAGGGGCAATTAATACCGGAAGGAGTCGCCGGAGGGTTTTCACTCATTGGGGTTTTTTTTCGGGGTTCGTGTCTTATGTCGATTGCCGCAATATAATCATTATGCCACCGTCCATTATTTTGCGTAAATTGCCTATTTCCGGTCTAAAAGGGTGTTTTTTTTTCAAGTTCTAATAGCTTCCGATCCACCCGTTGGAAATGACTCAAATTATAACACAGGATGTATCTTGCCACTAACTATCATCCATCCAAGTTTCAGCTCCCTGCGTTCATTGGAGGCCGAGAAACATCTTCCGGAATTTGGGGTGGGTCTTTTTACTTGGGGCATAAAACCGGATATAGGGGTCTGGGGTTCCAAACTTAAGCTTGCCTCAACCAGGCCTACATCATTTTAATATTTAAGCCCATTATCGCCGCTCATTTCTGAGTTCTGATGGGACCATTTACACTTCCGGGCACCGTTATCACTTGCCCCCAAAGGGTCTGAGGGGTCCCGTTTTTCATATGCCCGGGTCAAATCATCTCTAGCACCCCTCCTCTGAGTTTCATAACATTAGCTTCCTTAGTTCCGATTTGGGAGAGGGGTCACAGATTTTGTCAAATTTTATTTTCTGGCATAAGAGAGACGATTTATTCGAAGAACCAACTTTTTTTGTTCTCGTCTTTTGTTTGCTGTACTGTTAACTTAATGGACGAATCAAACCTACGCTCAGGCCACTATAGCATGTAATACAGTACAATCACCAATTCTACAGTTCTGATGAAAATTAATACACTGTCAATCAATCATCCATCATTTTATTACGTTGGTCTGCTAAAGGACTCATTTTTCACTTTTAATGCTAAAAAATTGCGGTCTACAAAACGATCGGTCCCCTAATACACCTGTCGTGTTATATAGTTTTCTGGCTGAGTTTCGCTGCTGATATATTGTAAATAATTGCTGCTTCTGTTTTCAAGCAACGGCTGAAGGGAAATTTGTTGTTTGTTTGCTGGCGCTTTTATTCAAACGTACTGTACGACCGTGCACGTTGAAATTTATTTTGTGATTTTATGCAAAATTGAGTCATACAAGATGGCAAGATGGATATCGAAAATCAGGTATAATTTAAACTAGTGTAGTTTTTCAAACATCACCTTGAAACAAACCTTTTTCGCTCTCTAGAGGAAGAAATTGACGTTTGAGGGTGACATCGAATGATCAAAGACTGGCAGGGGTAGTTAAGTGACTCAGATCTCTCTTCTTTCAGTCAAAATTTGTGGTCCGAGACACCGAATTTTATCCGAGCTCGATCTCTGAAGGCTAGGCAAAAAATACCAGCCCAGAAAATAACCAAAAAATAGCAGACTCTAATTAGGGGCAAAAAAAAATAAAAATTTATCTTTCAAAAAAGCTCCTAAGTTGGTCGTTTCCGTCCTAATTAAAACGCGTTTCTTTTTTTGGCCACACGGAAAAAGTTTCTGGCCTTTTTGTTTTTGCGCGAGAACAGAAAATTGTCTTCGATGAGAGAGAAAAAAGAAACACAGTAATTAATTTGTTTTAGCCGCGGCTTGCAAAATACACGATTTTGGACTTTTGCATTGGTGATAATTTTGCTTATATTCACGAGGATTTGTCTCAGGACTAGAGGGGAAAAGAAGTTCACAACCGAGAATAATCACTCTGACCACCAACAAAGAACAAAAATAAAAACCCCTGTAATCAATAGCAAAGTTTTTGAGCAGCAGAGAAAATGTTTTGAACAGTCGTGGAACAACCATACAAACAAAGTGCATCCAAAAGCTCCAATTCATCAGCTTTTGCCAGGCATGGAAATCATTGAAGACAATTCAGACGCTATGCGACTTTCTGAAAAGTGCTCGAACAACCCCTCGGAAAGTCTGCGAGTTCTGATGATCAATTCGCGAATTGGCTCTTTTTTGCAGCGAGAAGCTCTACGTGAAACCTACATTCCTAATTTACTGAAAAATAGCTCAGAACAACTATCTTGGATTTATTTTTTCTCCACAAATAAAGCCAGCACAAAATTCAGAGGTCGAATAAATGCAGAAAAAAATAAATATGGCGATCTCATAACTTTTAACACTCCTGAAGGCTACAACCTGACACCGCTGAAAATTCTCGCTTCAATGAAGCTCGTAAACTGCTTTTGTCCGAATGTAGCTTATTTTTTGAAGGCAGACGATGATTCCTATTTGAGAATCGAAGAAATTGACCAAGAGTTGCCAAAATTACAACAGCGGGTGGACCAAAACTTTCCCGCACTCAGACTAAGCGCAGACGGTAAGAAATCATCATTAGGTCATGCACCTCTGAACAGTGGAGGAAAATGCAATGTACAGCCTGTTCCGCGGAAATACCAACATTCGGTGCCTTTTGATTCTATACCTCAAAAGATATTTCCATTCAAATACTGTTGGGGTCAAATGTCAGTTTGGTCAAAACCGGTCATCGAAAGAATCGTTTCTAATTGCGCCACCCATTGTATTGGGTTTTACGGCGGCCAGCAAGACTTCAACTTCAGTAGACCTTGCCTGTGGAGACCAGAAGACATGTTCCTTGGCTCCTGTATCCATGCTCTCTTTTCGAACGAGATTGTCATTGAAGAGATTACAAATTCAGGTCATGCTCTAGCTCGAAAAAGCTTATTTGAAATGCTATATACCACACACCATATTGTAGGCATGGATAGGAACTCACCACAACAAATAAAATCAACACACCAGCTCTACAGTTTTATCGACAAAACTTTTGGATGATGTATTTCAAACTCCATGAATGTTGTGAATTTAAAGTTTTTGCTCATACTTGTATCAGAAATTATTTAGTTTTCTAAAGATGAATTTGATCTATGATGTGCTTAAGTTTTTATTTAAAGATTTTTTCATCATATCGTTTGCCAATAAAGAAGACGCGTTTTTTTCGGGTGGTAGCTAAGTGCACAGAATTTCCACCTGAGTTCTACATTGCTACTCATTGGAATTCAGCCTGCCTTACTAATCGCTGCTTTAAGGAAATCATTGAAACGACATTTCGAAGTCCAAAACAGCCCAAATCGGTAAAAATTAAAACTTTTTTTGCTGGGAGACAGTGCAAATCCTTCGGCTTTTCAATAATTTGCTTAGTAGATTTTCCGCTCTACTTTTTCGGCGTAATGGTGCAAAAAAAAACGAAACAAAAAACATAATTTTTTTAAAATTCGTTGCTTTGAAAATCTTTATTTTTTTTCTTTTTTTTTTGTTGTTTTGGGCTATCTTAGTCTAAGCTCGGAATATTAATTTATTAACTATCAAAGTTAAAAATCCATTTTCCGTTTACGTACCGTTTTCCAGTACAGTTTTCCAGTGCTGGTTCGACAAAATATTGCTATCCGAAATTTATATCACCCTAATGCTTCCTATTACATAGCACTACTTAGATGATAAAACCGTCAAAGTTCTAACCAAAAATGAAAATTTGGACTAACTTTAGAAAATTTGAGAACGTTTTGGTGTTTCGGGTTACAACTACAGAAATTTTTATCAACAAGAAAGGAAAACAAAAAGTTTACAATTTGTAAAGCCAAAAAATTGTTTTGTTTTTTTAGTTTTTCTGGCAAGTTTTCAGTTAGCAATTTTTTTCGTTAAAATAAAAATGAAAGCTGCTTTATTGTGTTTAATCGCTCAAGTATGTCTCTGCGAGGCCCTTTGAGGTACTGTCTCTTTCAAGTCAATTTTTTTTCAAATTGTGTCAATAACTTTTGATATGTATTAAAATTTATTTTTATTTAGATCAGTCAGTTAGAGATGAAGAAAAAAAATTATTACACTATTAGGACAAGGTCTAGAAATAAAACTAACTAGTTCAGCCAGAAGGCAAACCACTTCGACGAATACGCGGATTGATGTTCTTTGCGAATTTTGAAGGACTGTCTGAAACAAAAATTACCACCGTAGTAGACCATCATTGTTTTGCGCTCAACACAATTATTGAATTTTGCTTAAAATAAGATTAAAATTTTTTTGGGCCTATAAAGACTTACAGTGGCAACTACCTTGGAATATCTCTCCTTGTAATTGCCTTTAAAGTTCCTCGAAGCGATACTAAGAAATCGACTTGGGCTTGCATACGAGAGGTATGCAAGGAAAAATCAGGCAGGTTTTAAACCCAAACGAGGCTACTGAGATGGGTTTTTTTATTTCACTAGATCTTAGAACAAAGATAACATTGTAAAAGAAACACAAATCTTTAATTCGTTGACTTCAAAGCAGCGTTCGATTGTGTAGATAGAGAGTGTATCTGGAAAGTTTGCCGTAACCTTCGTAAGTTTGCCGTAAGTTGAATTGCGATAAATCAAAGGAGGTCAAAACCCGGATAGGCAAGGCAGCCGGCAATCTTGACAATCTGAAAGAATGTTTGGAATCAAAGGAAAATATTTGAATGCACTGTTTCCAAAATCTAAAACGCCTCCGTCAGAAATGTTCTGTTTTATGGAGCCGAAACTTGGCCCATCAAGCCTTCAAAAGTAGGTGCTTGCAAAAAATTGTCCGCAATAGATACAACCTACCGTCATACTTAAGGCCGCAAGCAAAACTGGATGAAAGCATGGAGTTAACCGTACAGCTCAGAAGGCTGAAATGGCTCGGTCACGTACTTCGCTTGGACACCTCGGTGATCCGAATGCTGTCCTAGAATTTGAAAAAAAGACGCCTGGCGACAACCCCCAAGTGGCAGCAGAAAGTCGTGGCGCAAAATAGTCCGAGATGAAATTAAAACTCACGTGCAGCCGTCCAAAATTAAGATCAAGACATGGGAGACTGAGTGGTTTGGACGATACAAAAACCTGGTAAAAAATATGAAGCAAAGGAGAGCTTTCTGTCGGGATGTCACTGTGGCGGGCAATGGCCAGCGTTGCCTCAAATAGCCCTCTCTGGAGCTCGAGATTTTAGTATAATTTGCTAACTTGAACGGATAAGTCAATCACGACAAGTGCCACAAATAATGGCAAGTGCCACTATTGAATTTTAAACTCTTGATGAAAAGTTTGAAATTTGATATATTTGGTTTAAATTCTCTCCTTGAACGAAATTGTACCGATGAAACGAGAAATTACGATAAAGCAAAATCAAAAAGTATAAAGCGGAAAAAACAGAACGGGTAAATGATAAGGTGAAAAAGTTACCGCAGAAAAAAGGGCTCAATAAAACAGCTCTTAGGAAAAACAGATGAACAGAATTTTGCTAGATCTACTTTCTTGGGTAAATTTTTTGAAATTCTAACTAGAAAAACCAAATGTAAGTGTTTTGAGAAAAAAAGTAAATTAGTTTGCTCAAGCAAAAGTGTTGATAGCCTAAATGTCAAAAGGAACATACAGTCAGAACAGAATAAATTTGACTTTTTTAAACGTCTTTTTTTCGTGGAAAATTTTAAGCAGAAGACATGCCCAGAATATGTGACAAAAATGTTCGTAGAGTCAATTAAGTACCAAAGGGTTTGATACCAACAGTTGATTGCGATGTTTTAAGTACAAACTCTCAAAGTAAAAAACTTCCGATATGAATTTTCTAGGCAATTACGGATTTAAAAACTTTATTCCGACGTTATAAAAATTTCTAGTTTTTTCTTCAACATAATATTTGTAGAAATGCTTTTTACTGACAAATTTATTTTTGCTACCGTCAGACTTGATTGCAAACACGTCAGAAAATTGAATTGCGGAAATTAAAGACCAAAATCAATGCTGTCATTGTGAATAAGATGTTTGAAAGGATTTTCTGCGCTCGGCTTACTTCCTTCTTAACAGTATAATGTCAAAACAAATCGGCTACTACAGCAACACATCTACGATTGATACAATCTTACATGCGATTGAAACTAATAACGACCCTCAACAATAAAAAATTTCAGTGACACGCTGCTGTTTTGAGTTATCAAATGCTTTTGATGCAGTCGATCATACTGTTTTTTGTCAAAAACATTTTCCGTGGGATTGAGAAGATCAATTAAAAATTGACTATAGTCGTACCTTAACAAAAGCTCTATATATTTCTAAGTTGACAACGACTAATCGATTTAAAACCAAAAAAGGCGTTATTTCACATGGCTTAGTTTTAGGTCCTGTTCTGTTTCGGATCAATGTTAATGATAGAGAAAGATACGCTTTAGATGGCATTGCGGTTTAGAGACGGGTTAACAAAATCTATTAGCCCTCACAAGTCAAAAAACCGTTCGGACAGAATGGTGTGTTTCGCACCAACCGTTTTCAAACCCAAACCAGACTGCTCGTATATCAGGGCAGAGCCCTGAATGTTCCGACTGCCCCTAAATTCATACCTTATGAATTATTTTGGGAACCTATAAATTTTGGACAATGTCAAAGCGTGAAGTTTTGAGTCAGACGAAACTAATACGACTAATTGATCTCAATTCAATTTGGAACGATACCATTTTGCGAGATAGTTTGACACGCATAGAAATCTCGCGTTATGCTCTCCATATTATAAATAAATTCTTCAAAGCGCGCATAATTTAGTCCACAATTTAGCCAATTGGGATTTTTTCAAACTCCCAACATTTTACTAAAATTGATCGGAAGAAAAATATCGTTTTAAATTTGAACTCAAGATTTTCAATTGGGTGGGGGTGAAAATTTATTGTTGAAAATCAATATTTTGATCGGCGAAAATTGACTGAATGAAAAAAAACCACACCGATCATAAATATTCCGTTTTATTCGAAAGTCGGAGAAATAAAGGCTGGGCGCGTTTTAAACAGTGCTTCAATTTTTCACGGAAATATGAAGAACAACTTTCCGGCCCCGCTATGCTGCGAAACCTGTTATTTGTTCTACTGGGATTCCGAGAGCACAAGTACGCAAAGTTCGCTGACATCGAAGACATATTTTTGCAGGTCGGATTGCTAGAATTTGATGAACGTTTGTGCGTTTTTTTGTGACGAGAGGACGACACCACATTAGATGTGAGTCTGCTTCCATGATGTGAGTGCATATCTTCAGAGCAAAAGTTCTTCGATTTCTGGTAATTTCGCCAATTGTGATACAGTTTTCGATAACCAAAATTGTTATCCCGGAGCCGCTCACTCCGTGTTGAACTGTTTTTACTTGGATTTTTACTTCGGCTCTGTGAAAAGCGGACAACGGCTTTAAATGAAGTCGAAGTTGATTGAAATTGTTCTAGTCGAGCTGGTTTAATCTAACTCAATTGGTTAAGTTTCCGTTGACTTATTTGCTGATATAACTAACTCCTACTAAAACCATTTTGCTCCGAACACGCCAAAAATTGTTTCATATGAACTTGATCAACGATACCTTCGTTGTGATCAGCATTCAGTAGCTGTTACCCAACAATTGGTTCCAAGTCTTATGTACCTGACAATCGATCCAAAGATACCTGGCAATCGAGTGATCAGCAGTGGGACGACTCACCGCCAAACAAATTGCACCACAAGTTCTTTGAATGGCACTCAAGATAGCCGGTTTTAGGAAAATTCACGACCCCTCGTTGCTATTTTGATGCTCAAATGAATGAAATTGAACAGAATTTTTTCGCTAATAACTCATTGGATGTTTTCTGTTTTGTTAATTCCCTACGCCACTTCTACCTATAAATTCACGTTCGTTTTTGACAAAGCAAGAGTTGAGTCATTGAAGATGCTTTCGTGTTCGAAAACGCAACTTTAAGTTGTGCTTCTTTTTTCTCCTCTGAAGGATAATATTAAGGAAGCTCTTGCTTTGCGTTGAACTTTTCTCAAGTGCTTATGTCGACTGTAAGCACTACGGTCCCTCTGTGCTTCAACT